TGGCACTCCTCACAGCAATGAATTCAACTGTCCATGCACATGTGCAAGATTCACACTTGCAACTCCTGTTCACTGTGGTTACCCCAACCCTAATTTGGACTCTTAAATTGTTCTTCAACAAACAGTGGGAAAATGAGTGTATCTGTGACATTTTTCTGAAGAGTTCCGTAACATTAAATAGTAGCACTGCCTGTATGCTATATATTGACTGTGGGTGCAACAGTTAATGAAATTAATGTATTTTGCATAGATTATGATTAAGACAAGCCTCATTCATCACTGCATGGATTCATTTTACCGGAGTTACTACATTGGTTTCATAAGAAAGAAACTGGCATAAAGCCAGCGCAGCGATATTGAATCAGGTCTATAAATCTAACACTGTTTAGTTTGTAATAGCTTTATTAAGCACAAGAAGGTAGAATAACATTTAATTTTCTAACAGAAGAGAATATCATTTATTTGAGGTTTTCAGCATCAGTGGTTGGTTAGTTGGTTGGGTATCTTTTGCCTGGGATGTAATTGGTGTAGCTTTCCCTCTCCTCTGAGGTATAGGCAAGCTCTGTTGGCTTTTCATTGTGGTTGGGATCAATATGCTTTCATTCAGATTTTAATGAGAATCACACCTCTAGAGCTCCAATATGAATCCATCAATTAGAAATGAATTTTATAAGCAGCAGTTTGTGAATGAGAAGGCTACACTGAATACTATTTCATTTTTTCCAAACACAGAAATCAAATGTTTTTGCAAAGATCAGTGTGCTCTTAGTTATACAGCATTTTGTTACCAAACCACTGATGGATCCCTTATGTATTATGGGAAAATGCAGCTTTGTAACATTTCCTTCCTAGCAATCACTTTCTTTTTTGCCAGTTTTTCTAATCAAAATTTTTCTAAATAAAGATGTTTATATTTTAAAGTAAGGTACTATAAAACACACACAAAATAATTCATGGTAGATCATTTTCCTGTTAAGGTGTGGGTGTGCCACAGACACATTTGATTTTCTGTAATTAATAGAAATGATAAAATGACCGGATGCTCATGATCATATTAGTTAGACCAAGTGAAACATCTGTAATTTCATTATCAAATATGGAAGTCTTCATGCCTGGCATTTTCTCTTATTTGTACTAGTGCAGCTCCAGAACAGTTGTAGAAGGCAGTGGTGCTAAAGAAAGGATAGTATGTGATCCTTGATCAGGGCGGAGACTCAGCAGAGTAATTCTTTTATATTTTACAGCAGAAACTCTTTTCAGGTATTGCATAGAATCTTCTTCAAATATTTGTTCACAATAGTGAAAATACGTATTTCCTTGCTGGGTATAAAGAAATGTTATTAATTCCTTGAATTTTGCACTTTCTCCATTTTAAATAACTCTAATGGTATAAAGCAGTGGCAATATGGTGTACTCACCCTGGGTATCAGGGCTGAGGTACACAGCACCCACTGTGTACTGGTGACTTCAGATTTTGATGCTGTGTTACAGAGTAAGGAAATGTTCCCAGTGTGCATTGACTGAGATTACTCAGAAGCCAGAGTGAAGCAGTTTGAACTGCATGATGGTCCATTACCTGAACCCACCTCAGATACTTGGAGAGTTGGCAGACATTATTTTGGTATGTTTTTACAGTGGTATCATCATATTTCGTGTCCTCTTTCAGATGCTCAGAATAAAATAGCATTCTCTTTTTATCACCTTTACCTTCTCATTGGAAGGAACTATTTAACTTAAAATCTAGTGTGTGTATTCATTAATTAAAAAAGAGAACAGGGACTCTTGGAAGATGCCATAGAGATTTCAGGAATGTGAGTACAGTCCTGCAGCTGTTTTGATTTTGTTTGTTGTTTTTTTTTTTCCCTTCCAGCTCTGCTGTTATTTGTCTTTAAAGTCTCTATATTGGCTTGTTACTTTCTGACTTGGATGTATGCTCTGAAACATTTTTGCAAAGCTTTTAGTGGTGTACCTTCTTAAGGGGAGCAGGGTGGCTTCTGACCTGTGCTTTGCAAGGGACAGAGACCACAAACCCTGGCAGTGGACACACAGCTCTGCTCTCCAGGGAACTGCCTGGAGTGGAGGAGTTAAACAGGACAGCCCTTTTTAGGAGGAGGTGTGGTCGGTCAGTATTAGTTCTGTTCCACCAGTGTGAGCTGAGATGGATGAGCCTGTGCAGAGCGGTCTGTACCATTTCTATCAATGCGTTCTTCATATTGTCTGTCTCTAAATCAGTTGAGTTGGCCAGGGGATAGCAATGGCCTTGGCTGGCAGTACTGGTGCTCTCTGAGCTTTCTTAAAAATGTTAGTTCAGATACTGGGGGAGTAGACCACTTGCTCTGTGAGCAGAGGCCAAGAGATCTCAACTGATTCACCCTGGAGAAATGTCGGCTTTGGAGAGACCTCACAACAGCCTTCCAGAACCTATGATGAAGTAATAATAGAGGAGATAGAGCCGGGCTCTTTGATGGTGGGAGGATGAGACACAGAGGGCATAAGTTGAAACAAGGGAAATTCAGACTGGATATAGGAAAAGCATTTTCCCCATTAGGACAGCCCAGCAGTAGGACAGGCTGCCCAGTAAGGTTGTCAATTTTCCATCCTGGGAAGTTTTCAAGATTTAACTAAACCCTGAGCAAATTGGTCTGGCTTCGTAACTGACTCTGCTTTGAGTAGGTTGATCTAAATGACATTCTGAGGTTCCTTTCTGTGACCTTATAGTTTCCTGATACTTAGCACATGATGAAAAAGGATAGATAAGGAGGATTGGGAGCTAGAACAAATAAATGCTGGTGGCTCACACAGCTGGTAAAAGATTGGAGAACATCAAGTGAGTGCATGAAAATGGATCACTAATCTTTGTTATGTTGGAAATGATTTAGTCCTGGCTTAGACAGCAGTGCACAGTCATCACTTCTGTGTTGCAAGGTTCCACTTAAGGCTCCAATGTCATGTAGAAATGAGTTTTGTTTAATGACCTTCTGCATTAGCAGTTCTTTCTGTTGGTGACTGAAATTGATTTTGCTTGTGATGTGAAGGAACATGAGCCCAGCCTCTGCATCGTTGCTCAAGTGTGTGCTTTAGCCCTAACAAAGAATGGGAGGACAGCAAATTCCTGAGCACCAGAAATAACCATGCTGAAACTCTTAGGTGCATTATCGATAAAGACTAAGCTGGTTTTTAGTCACTCTGATGCATGGTTGGAAACTGTACCTTTGTGCTTAAGCACTGGAAATTCTTGGTCGATACTTTTCTTTGGTAAAGTGACATCACAAAGACTTGTGTTTTCCTCAAGAACTTCACAAAACAGACTTCCTCCCTGACCAGAGTAATTTTAAAATAGTTCAGTCGTGGTTTATGTTGCCATACTGCTTAGTTAGACAAGGACTACAAAGAAAAAGAATAAAAGAAGGATGAAGGATAAATATGTCAGGGACATAAGATTGAAAGGAGCACAAGGTTTCAAAAAGACTTGCAACAGAAAATAAAAAGGAGAGAAAAATAACATCACATAGGAAGGAGGAAGGACAAAGAAGATGAAAGGAATGTGAAAGAGAAAGTGAAGAATCTGACAAAAACAAGAAAAGAAACCTATTTGATGGCTAATATTTCATGAAAACTGATTAAAATTAAAGGAAATGTAATGCAAATAATGACTTTTAGGTTTGTAAATGCTCCCTGATCTAGCAGTGTGTGTTTGGCAAACGTTTATCCCTGACTTTGGAAAACTGAAGAAAGAGAAGAAATTCCCAAAATAGTTTTGTTTGGATCCACTGACAGAAGAGGTAGAGATAAAGTATAACATTTTAAGAAGGCTGCAGAAAGCTTCTGGTATTGTTGTGGATCAGAAGCAAGTCCGAACGTTTGTCCCTTGTGATCCAAGATGGAGATCAGAACTAGGGAGTATGGAAGGGCTCTAAAAGCCTCTCTTTGCTTGGACTCCTAGTTGTGCTCCCTCCCAGCTGGCGCTCTCCTGGCTCAGTCACTGACTTTTGCATACCTCACTGGTTTTGTGTCCTTATAATGTCCCATCTAGCTGCTTCTCCAAAAATAATGGCCTCCCCTTTATTACTCTCCCTTACTCTGCAGGATGGTTTTTTTCAGTTCTGTTCTTCATGCTTGGAAAAACTTTTCCATCATGAAGTACTAAGCCATGAAGGCTCTTTCCTGCTTTTTAATTTTTTCTCTTTTGAGTGGCATGTCAGTGAATGGGACAAGCTTTAGTAATGACAGTTAATTACTATCACAATAATTACAATATACCATTTTTTAAAATTCTGTATGTTATTGTCATTTCCTATACTCCTGATGTACTAAAATGTATGTTTCTCCAGTAGATGTCAAGTTTTAGCCAGCATTAAATAAGCAGGCACTGCATCACTGCTGATATTTAGCAGTAATAATGACAGCCTCAGTGGAAATTGCAAAGCCATTTGCAAGATATAATACTTTGCAGGCTTTGAAACTTAATATCTGTGGAAGAATTCAAATGATGAATATTGCTCTGGGAAGTAGCATAGAAAGAGGACTGACTTGGAAGGTCAGATTTGTGATGGCTGTCATCCCTGGGATGAACTTTATCCACAAGACTACTTCTCTGGATCCTTGCCAAGGGGATTACAAAATGGTGTTGGGAAGATGGCAGGGAGTGTTTTTTCCCATGTTGATAAACGTATGACAGGAATTTGTTTACAAGAAGGAGTAACAAAAGGGAAAAGTATGGGATGTGCTTTTCATCTTAAAACCAGTAAGTCACGAGAGAGTGCCTCAAAGTGTCTTTTAATAGTTCAGTTTCTACAATGTGTTCTCCTAACACTGCCATTATATTATGTTTGCATGGAAGCACCTAGGCACACTTCTTCCCAAATGCTTTTGGTTGGTCTTGGATGAATAACAAACAATTCCTTAAATTGTGAAAATCCAGATACTTATCTTATGCCTTTGTCTCTTTTTTTTTTTCTTTCTTTTTTTTTTTTTTTTTCTCCTTCCTCTTCCTCATCCAGGGAAGAATGTATCAGTCGCACAGAAGCAGCAATACTGCTCTGAAGGAATGATGAAATGTGCTTTATCCTGGCGGTGACCGCAGCTGCTTCACTATGGGAAAAACTGAGAAGTTGCCCTGACTTACCATCTGCCACGTTCTGCAGTGGAAGCTGGCCATGTAGGCCAACCCAATGTGTGGTTTGAGTTTTCGTTCTGTTTTGTTTTCTTGGGATCTCGGCACTTGCATTTTAAAGAAATTATCAAGTTAAAGCACAGATCTTGGTGTTCGTGGGTCTGCTTGTGTGGGCATGTGCTATCCTCAGCCTCATATGGCTTTGAGCATTCCTGAAAAAGCCTTTGATCTGAGTTAGGATGTTCAGTATTTCGGAGGACGTGGTACTTGAGGGTACAAACTGTTTAGGAAATGAGACAGAACTGCATTTTTACAAGGTTAAGTAGGAATTGGGAATGTGCTTCATGTGCATTGAGAGGCGCTGGGAACATCAAAGCGCTCTGTCCCAGATTGATTATTTCAACCACATGAATAGGCCACACTGAATTTACCATTCAGATGAGGTATTTGCACGCATACGTGCTTTTTGTGAAAGAGGTGGGTTTGTGCACACTGGTTGGTAATAGCGCGCGTGACTCAAGCTTGTTTTGCAACCGACACTGCACAGCACAGATTTATGCCCCCATAACCCATACTGTTCATACCCAAGTACCCATTTGTGAAGGCAGGGAGATGTGAATGTGGGCACAAGACCTGTGCATAAGGGATCATATGGGTACATCCATTCCTCCTTTGACTAAAGGCTTGCACACAGCACTGTTGAACTCAGTGGCAATACTCGTGTTGTCCTGGATGGGAGCAGCCATGGGTACTGCTCCCTCAAACTGTCCCTCACAGGGTAATGCACTTTCAGTTTCAATAACTGTTTTATGACTTGTATTTCTTCTTTTTTTTTCTTTTTTTTTTTTTTTAATGTTGAGCTAACTGCTAGAATGTGCTCTTTTTACAATGCTTAGTCGCCCAGTAATTCCAGATATCCTTTGAAAGGAGGCAGAAGGATAATAAACTGTGGAATCCCAAACCAGATTAATGTAATGTGCATTTCTAGATTATGATTAGTAACAAGATGACACGTTGGCATGGTAACACTTGAAGCTTAACTACATGTTCTTAAAATAAAGCAATGACATATGTGTAGGTTTCTATCCATTTGCATACTATCCACCTGAAAACATACACCATTTCCACAACACTCAGGCAATTAAACCCTACTTCTTACTTTTGAATTAAGTGCTAAACTAAAACATCATGCCTCTTTCCTAGTACTTATGCATAGTCTCCCACCGTAAATTATAAATGTTGATAATGAACCTGTCTGTTTTGTAACATCTTAAGCTTTCTGCCATTTGGTTTCATTTTAAAACGATTAGCATAAGGAATGTAGAACGCGCTTCATTCTTTGTGGTTTGTACCACATTGATCTCCTTTAAATTCTACCACCTCCTAATATGAAAATTGTCTCACTGACATTGGAAAAGCCTGTTTATTAATTAAATTGATAGACCAGCGGGTGCATGTCATGTGGCTGAGGACTGGGAATTAAAATCCCAACATTACCTCAAATCATTGTAAGAAAGCAGTAAAATTTTTCATGTGAGATTACTAGCTGAGACAGAGAGCCTAGCTATTATTTTCTAGTTGCCTTATGGTGAAGAGAATAGTGTTGTCTAGTTGTTACAGCCTGTTCAGCTTTCTTTCACTAAGCAGATGTTAACTTGTTTAGGTGTGTTATCTATGGTAAGCGTGCCAGGGGATGCTTTACGTGTATCGTTGTTTTGTGTTAAACTTTCTCAGAATGCAAAATTGGGCACTTTGTTCTGATTGCTTTATATGCACAATATTGCCTTGACCAAATTCCTTACCGTCAAAATTAAGAAGCTGCTAAGTTCTGCGTAAGTAAACACAATCTTCTGTCACCCTAAATAGACAAAATGGGCAGTGTTACATGGAAAATATGATTTCCTTGACAGTTCACTTATTTACGTATACTCCACTGTATAGAGCATTGCAGAATATTGAAAATAGAGCTTACAAACCTTTAAATCCCAAATTCTGTTCTTCACATCACTATGGATGGCAGATACTGGAAGTACAATGATTGGCTCCGGTGTGATAATCATGTTACATTCAGAATAATACAATTGCCAGGAAATATTTCACACCTACAGCAAAGTTCCCAGGATAAACCTCCTGCTAAGGCATGGCTCATGTTTGTCCTTGTGGCCTTTTCAAAAAGTGGAAACTCTGATCTGTATTTCATCAATCTACCTGTATTTCTCACTTGCAGATGAAGGATTTAAGTATTTGAATTTGCCATGGTTGTGGGGTGGAGGGAGGGACATGTGCATGCTGGGTTTTGCCACTAATCCTTTGGAAATCCTTTAGTGCCTTAAGGAGGCAGAGGGGGAACAGACCTTAGGATTACAGAAACTTGTTCAAACCTTTTTCCTGCTTTAGCAGAATTCCTTTAAAATATATCGTGCCTTTGGCTTCAAACACATTTGCATTAGAAATCAGTAGCCATGGGATTATGGACAGGAAGTTTTGTCCCTGCACAAATGTTAGGAAAGAGAAATATAATGAACTTAAGTTCTACTAGTGGAATCCATGCATAAACCGTGATTTGACAACTAGGAAAGTTGCAAGGTGCAGGTAAAGTAAAACAAAAATAAAAAAGAAAATAAGAAATAATAAAAAAAGAAAATGTAAATGTGTTGGATGAAATGCTTGTACCACTGCAGTGACTGGCAAATTTCCACTGGCTTCCCTGGGACCAAGATTTCATGCTTGCTTCTACTTGGCTCAAGAAATACTCCCATATGATAGGTACTTAAGCATCATGCTTTAACTTTTTCTATGCACATAGGAGAGGAAAAGAGAGATTAGTAGTTGTGGAGATGCGCCTTGATTTGGAGTTGTTGGGTTCTGTGTTATAAATCTCTGTCCACCATTGTTTCTCTGTGTAACATAGACTCTTGCTATGGGAATATGAATATGCAAATGTAAATTCCCATGTGAGAGGTTACTGCGCAGTGTGCACTCGCCGATGCCAAACAACTATATTTCTCTGCTCTCTGAATTGTGAGTTTGTCTTTTTTAAAAAGAGGGTGAAAAAAAGCCTGTGTGATGCAATTCATGTGCTCACTGATGGTCCTAAGCAGATCTTAGGAAAAGTTGAATAAGCTTTTAGCTAATGAGTGAATTTTACTTTTTAGAAATTGAAAGCAATATGTTGGTACAGAGGTAAAAAAAAAAAAAAAAAAAAAGACCTGAAAATCAGAGTGGTGGTTGTCTTCTATTTTCTCCCTGTGATTACAAGTTTTAAAGAATATGTAAATAGTTAAAAGAAAATCATTACATGGCTCACAGTATGTAAGACAAGACCCAGCATGGAACAGATTTTTATAGCTTGTTTATAAATTACACTTCTGTCTTTTGTTTGGAACTTGGAAAAAGAAACCATGTAAATTAAATAAGGAGTAAAGACTTACTGCACACATTTGCTTGACTGAAACAAAGATATTTCCCCACCTCCTGAGGTATTTATGAGAAATCTGGGATGAATAATGTATGGAGATCTTGCCTTTTGAGCTCTAATGCTGTGTGGTTATTTAGCTCCTTTGCACAGATGACAGAGGGATGGTAACCAGTGGCCATGAAGAGCGGTTGTTAGGGCCACAAACTGGGATCCATTTGAAGAGGTGCCAAAGAATGCACAAAAAGGCTGGGGTTTATGACTGCAGAAGGAGGGGTGTTTGTAAATAAATGCAAAAAGTTTAAAGTCTGGCCCACGACCGCCCTGTAACTGGGTGTGGAATTGGTCTCAGCTAAATGAGACGCTTCAGAAATATCGAAGAGGCCACTCCTCTTTTGATCTGTTCCTTTAAAACTTGCTGGATAACTTCTCAGCAAAGATTTCCGCTCCGAAACATTTGTCATAGATATCAACTGTACATATGTATTAATTTTGAGTGTAACTAGGGAGGATACAGAATTGTAACGAAGTCACAAAGTCTACTTGATGATTATCACAGATTTGTAACTCTCACTTAAATTATGTAAGATATGTTGACATTTTATCTTGTTAACAAGATGTATTTTTCTATGTTAGTTAAATGTATAATTTGTATAATTTTGTATATTAAATGTATGCATATTTTAAATTAAAGACTTTATAATTTTAATTATTTTTAACTCTAAAATGGTGGTGGAACTTCTGAAATATGGTTGTAAATACAACTGTATCCCTAGATAATAACCCAGGAAGTCTCCATTTTGACCCCTTTGAGGAATGGGCCGCCTGGTCTGCTATCAGGGTAAGGAAACTGCTAGGCCTGAGTTCTTGTTCCTCTTGGTGAAGGAGCTGCCATTCATCTTTTGCTGATTCAGCCGAACTACTATGAATTAGCAGAATACTGTAATACTGTGGGCTGGATGACTTGCTCGGGAAGTGGGAAACCTGAGTCTTTCCCAGCTTGTAGGGTTTTGGGATCCATGGTTCCTACAAGTCAGGAAACAGTCTGAATGACCAAGCCATGGGATGGGGTTTTGTGGGGAGGGAGGAGGACACTGCAGCCAGAAGTACAACAGTTGTGTAGAGCGGAGAGAGGGAGACTAACTCTGACTCAAGTCACTCCTCTGGGAGAAAGAAAACTTGGGTATCTCTCACACTCGCTCCTTTTGGGTTATTCATGTTGGTTTTTTTTTTCCTCTGATGATTCTGTTGCACAATAGTAAAAATAGGTGCAAAATGTACATTGCGTGTTCCCTGAGCCCCTGCACCAGGGAAGTCCTGTGCTAGCTGCTGATGTTCACCCTGTTGCAAGAAGAGTTCCACCTACAACCGGAGCCAAGCAGGTAAATACCTTTCTCGTTGCACTTTTGTTGAAGGTTTTTGTTGTGTGAAGTAAGGTTTTCTGCTATCTCTCATCTAGTCTGTTCAGAATATAATTTGTTTGTCATTGATGCTATACTGCATTTTTAAATTTAAATTTTTAAATTTAAATTGTAATTTTAATTTAAAAATTAAAAATCCTATAGAGTGAGGGTGTACTTTTAATCAAGTGCTGTCCTCTTTCCATCAAGCTATGTCAAGACAGGATGAGATGCAGTGTCTGCAAGACAATATACTAAAGCAATCTATTTCTCCCAAGTTGCATACATGCTTTTAGGTAAACCTGCAGGGTATCAGGCTGTAACTGGGTCTGCTTCTGTAGCACCTAAAACTGCAATTTTACCTCTTTGTGAACAGAAGAATAGTATGCATCTGGTGACTTAGAACACAGTTTTTAATAAACTAAGGGCTACAATATGAAAATATCAATTTAAAAGCAAAGAAGGCTCTGATATGATTTTATGCTTATTTCTAACTTGAAAGTTTAATGCTGTTTTCTAAAGCATTAATTTGACGTGTTCTCTGACTCTTGTGGTTTCCTTATGTATTAACATTAAGAAGAATGTCCTAGTTTAATACTGAAAAAATAACATTATTGTTATTTTAAAAAAATAAAAATCAGCAGTTCTAGAAACCTGAAAGTTATCTAACTAGATCCCAAGTGTTAAGAGAGTCCATCTTTCTTAGCTTTTTGACGTTAAGTAAAAGATGCTCTTCATTTAACAGATGAATGCACTATGTACCACATGCTGAACTTACTGTGGGGCCCTCAGAATTTTTTTTCTTGGAGTCTCAGATTAATCCCTTGATTGGAAAGAAATATCTCATAAAATGAATAATTTTTCCAATACTTGCGAAGACAGGCAGGTCACATATCACACTCCATGTACCACCTGCATATTTCACTAGCTGTCACACTTTGGTGTCCCATGGAGGAACAAATTGACTTTTTTTTTCCCAACACAATCAATAAATCTCAATGTTACCATTAGGAACAACAAAAAAATCAATATTTGTCTACATACAAGAAAAAGAATTTAAGGAAGCAACAAAGTAATGTTCTACAAGCTCTACTTATTTTTCCACACTCTAGTGAAACCTCTATATGATATTAGTGTTAACATAGTAACAAGGTTTATTAAGTCAGCTGTAGAATCCTAGGCAATACATGCTCAGAAATGTCAGTCACAACTCTGTGACCCCTAAAATCAGTGTGTTAATAATCAATGATCAGTGAACTTTTGACTAATTTAAATTACTCAAAATTAATTAAAATTCAAATTAATTTGACTAATTCCCCTCATGAAAACAACACACAGTGTCACGAGGCATCCAAAACAGGAGCTACCGCTGCATTATAACAAATGCAGAAAAGAAAGATGTTTTCTTTTGACGTGTTTCGGGCATGTTCAGGTATGTTACCCTGCTGCTTTTTACATGGTTTTGGTCCAGGGGTAGCTGTTGGTAAGAGAGATAGTTATCTGGACTTGCTTCTGATGAAATCACAGATACCTCTATCTTTAACCTCCCACTTTTCCTGATCAACTTGCTATTTTTCCCATGCTGGGACCACCGGGTGTGCCTGTGGGCCATAGACAATAGTGCTGTGTGATGGGCTTGTATTCAGATGGCATCACCACGATGTATGTGAGCAGTGAACGGGTCTTGTGATCAATCCACTGCTTTGAATTCGCTTAGTCATTTAATCAGCCCCAGACCAGTCTGTTCCAATATATTATTTCAGAGCGATAGAAAATGTTCCTTATGTAACTGCTGGTGCATTCACCGCCTGCCAGGATTGTCTGAGGTTGGCTGCCAGCGTGGGAGAGGAGAGTCCCAGGTTTTGTGCTTTCAAGTGGATGATCTCCTCAGGCGTTGTACAGGAGATGGGTGTAAAGGTGGACTTTCTGAAGTGGGCTGTGCAGAGAGAGATGAGGGGAACGTGTTCTCCACCCTCCTGTTAAAAAAAAAAAAAAAGAAAAAAGAAAAAAACCGAACCAAACAAAAAACAAACAACAAAACCTCCTTAGTTTTGGGAACTGCCATCGCTCACAGCGAAAGGAAGCCCTTTGCCCTAGGGTCTCCTGGTTGCCCCTCCTTTGCCGAAGCGGGAGCCGGCCGAGGAAGGGCCGGGGCTGCCGGCCGAGGAAGGGCCGGGGCTGCCAGCCCGGGGGTGCTGAAGGGACAGCTCCGCGGGGGCGCCCCGCGCCCCCGCCGCTCTGCGCTGGGGGGCTCCGCGGGGACGCGCCGCCTTCCGCGGGGGTCTCGGTGGGGCGGGCATCCCCGATAACCCCCGGTATCCCCGGGCGTCTCGGCGGGGCGGGCACCCCCGGTACCCCCGGGGGTCTGGTCGGGGCGGGCACCCCGGTCTCCGCGGGTTGAACGCGGCGTTCCGCGGAGCCGCCACCCGGCGCCCCATCCCC